TGGCCGCCTTGTCCCATCATGTCAGGCGATGATCGGCAGGTGAGAGCCCCCCCCCATGCAGCCAGTGGCGGTGCAGTGAGTTGGGAACCAGGACATAGAAGTTCTGGTTTCATCTTTTCTGTGCTCACAGCTCCCTCCTGTGCAAGGCCTTGCACCCCTCTGGAGCAGGGAGCCCAGTACTGGTAAAATAGGGGCACAAGGTCACTTCTGGCCTAAGTCTGACTCCAACACGGCTCTCGATTATGGCAAACCTATCTCCGTTGCTTGGCACATCTAGCCTGAAGGACAGTGTGGCCAAACCGCTCTCTCTGACCACTACAGCCGTGACCCCTGCTGAGCCCTCCCAGATCCAGAGAACCTGGTCCCTCATCACTGATATCCTCCTGCGAGCTGGCAAATAGCTGTATGTATGGCTGGTCCCCAGGTGCTCCCGTGCTCCCAGCCGGCCCTGGTCTGCGCTGGAGCTCTGAGGGCGGAGTTCAAATCCTGCCCGTTACACCCTTGGCAATTTTAGGGTTGCATGTGATCAGAATTTGCATTTCCACTCCCTTGAAACAAGGATTTATTGAATTTACCTGTATAGCTATTTGAGTGCAGCCTGCCCCCCAGGCCGGGTGCCCCCCAGCCCTACGCTTGCGGGTGCAGGGGGAGGCTGCATGTCCCAGCCCCTGCACTCTGCCCCCTGTCCCCGCCTGCCAGGCCAGGTAGAGTGCAGCTGCCCCCTCGGAGCCAGGCCTAGCACTTGCTCCTGCTTTCCCACGGGGAGATGAGTCCCGTTTGTCAGCCAGGCCGGGAACTGCAGCAGCCCCACGCGTGGAGGGGGACCAGTGCTGCCCTGGGGAGCAGCCCGGGGCCTATCTGAGGAAGGGCCTGCAGGGCAGAGGCTCTGCTGGGCTCAGTTCCCTTAGTCCCAGGCTTGTGATTTCCTGGGGCAGGGGACGCTCCCTTCCTGCTCCCCATGGCCGGCACCACACCCCGGCTTTCGTCAGGCTGAGCAATATCCTGCCGGCCCCAGCGCCTCCCTCCCCCGGCTCTGGCTGGGGCATTCAGGGCCTTCGCCAGCCCCCGCCCTGCTCAGGCCTCAGCCGGGGGGCGGGTGACCGGGGGGGAGCTTGGCAGGGTATTGGGGTAATGAAGGGTCCTCTGCCAAGGGCACTGAGGGAGCAGCCTGGGGGCGGGTGAGGGGGGGTTGAGGGAACACCCT